TTGTAGGGGGCTTAGAAAAGAAGCAGGAAGGAGGGATAATTAAAGGGGAAGATTGTTAGCAGACAAGATTAGGTTAAGGACATGTGAGTAGTCTGATTGGTAAGCTTGAGAGATTACCATCGCAGAGTGGGCAGGAGTGGCGAGTTGGCAGTTAGTTTTGTAGTCTAGTGTGGGTGTAGGTGTAGAAGAAGAGGTGATTGTAGTCTGTGTGTTGGTGTTTGAAGTGTGTAGAGTAGGAGAGGTAGACCAAGTGCGTGGAGTAACCCAGGCATTGGGGGTAGGGGAGGAAGGTATGGTTGGGGGGGAGGTGCAGGGAAGGGGTTGGGGAGGGAGGGAGGTTGGCTTGCTCTGAGGGTGGAGAGAATGTCTTTTCTAGTAGGGCAGGAATTTGCAACTGTGGTGTGTGACCCGCCGCAGTTAGAACATTTTAGGGGGAGGTTGCAAGTGTTCCAGAAGTGGCCAGTTGCTGAACATCTGGAGCAGGTTTGTGTGGAAGTGCATGAGATTTTGTCGTGGCCGAATTTGTAGCATTTCAGACATTGTGTGATGGGGTGAAAGTTTGGAGTGAAGAGAGAGTTTGGAGGAATGCGGATGGTCTTGGCAAGGATTCCTTGATTGAAGAGTGTAGAGGCGTCAGAAGGAGTTGAACAGCGTATTTTGAGGATGGTAGAGTTTTCAGGTCTGTAAATATCGTCAACAGAGACTTAGTTCTTAGTACTAATGTCTTTGATTAAGTCTTCTTTGTCTGTGTCATAGGCAGTCAGGAGAGAATAGTCTACGTGTTTTGCGATCACTGTGCATTTGGCGCGGTGTTTAGGAGTCCAAATAATAGTGAAGCCTGCATTGAGAAGTTTTTGTCTGGTCTCGGTTGAGGTGTACGTTTCGTAAGAATGTCTGTCAAGAAGTAGTTTGAAGCCTGAGTTGGTTTTAAAGACTTTCAGCTGAGGAGCGCCAGTGATCTGGTACAATAAATTTCCAGGACAGACAGTGGCATGATCAGATTTAGAGTATTTGAGGTTAAGTAGAGGCAGGGTAGGCCTTAGAGGTAGGAGTAGACAGAGTAGAGGCAGGTGTTGGCAGTAGAGGAGGAGTGGTAAGGGGGAAGGAAGTGGAAGGCATTGAAGGCATCGTAAATTAGATGTGGCGGCTAAATCTGTGAGAGTAATTGGCTAGGCAAGTACGTGTGAAGTAGACACACGTACTTGCCTGGCTATAACTTTAAAGTTTCTTGTGGAGTCTGTCTCTAGAGGCACAGGACACTTAGGAGGTGAGCTGAAGCTTGATGGAGCACTGTATGCCCTGAACGGTGAGGAGAGGCAACACTGGCTGTATGGCGTGCAGACCACACGTACAGGCTGAGGCGTGGAGACTTCAGACAGCAACAGGAGTGCAGAGGGAGGCTTCCTGTCCTTGGGTAGGCAGCCACCAACGCACCAATCCTGATGGTGAAGACGAAGGTCCAGTAACCACCACTCGGTGAAGAGAGCAACTCTGGCTGTGAGCGATGAGGAGAGCCAACACTAGTTGTATGACGTGCAGACTTCACATACAGGCTGAGGCGTGGAGACTTCAGACAACGGCGAGGAGAGGCAACACTGGCTGTATAGCGTCAGTCCCTCAGTCTGGAGAAGAGTATTGTTCCATAGTCTGAAACAATATGGAGTAGAAGTGACAGGATGGAGCCTTGAATGTTCACTCTGTCAGACACTGCAACACAAGGGTATCTTGGTACAGACCTGAAATCAACTTTGTCAACTTCTACTAGTGAGAATGGCTGGATTTGAGAGGGACCTGACCTTCCAACGACAACATTCTTACCTCTACTAGTGGCCTACATCTCACCTGGCGTTATATAAGGCTCCATCGTGTCACTTCTACTCCATATTGTTTCAGACTATGGAACAATACTCTCCTCCAGACTGAGGGACTGACCACCTCATAACTTCAAGGGTGATGGACTGATTACATCGTCTTCAAGTATCTTCTGCTTCTGTCAACTTTTCTGTACTCGACTGAAGAAGCCTACTGTGTAGGCGAAACGTTTCGAAATAAAGATACCTAATTGTTGCATGTGTCTTACCTAACAACATCAAGGAACCTTCCTTGAGGGGAGGTCAGCAGTAATGGTCAGTGAATAACAGTGATTCACACAGCAGTGAATCAGTAACAGTCGTATGAGTCGTTACTACTGACACTACTGGCAACTGACACTACTGGCAACTGACACTACTGGCAACTGACACTACTGGCAACTGACACTACTGGCAACTGACACTACTGGCAACTGACACTACTGGCAACTGACACTACTGGCAACTGACACTACTGGCAACTGACACTACTGGCAACTGACACTACTGGCAACTGACACTACTGGCAACTGACACTACTGGCAACTGACACTACTGGCAACTGACACTACCGGCAACTGACACTACCGGCAACTGACACTACCGGCAACTGACACTACCGGCAACTGACACTACCGGTAACTGACACTACGGCAACTGACACTACTGGCAACTGACACTACTGGCAACTGACACTACTGGTAACTGACACTACTGGTAACTGACACTACTGGTAACTGACACTACTGGCAACTGACACTACTGGCAACTGACACTACTGGCAACTGACACTACTGGCAACTGACACTACTGGCAACTGACACTACTGGCAACTGACACTACTGGCAACTGACACTACTGGCAACTGACACTACTGGCAACTGACACTACTGGCAACTGACACTACTGGTAACTGACACTACTGGCAACTGACACTACTGGAACTGACACTACTGGCAACTGACACTACTGGCAACTGACACTACTGGCAACTGACACTACTGGCAACTGACACTACTGGCAACTGACACTACTGGCAACTGACACTACTGGCAACTGACACTACTGGCAACTGACACTACTGGCAACTGACACTACTGGCAACTGACACTACTGGCAACTGACACTACTGGCAACTGACACTACTGGCAACTGACACTACTGGCAACTGACACTACTGGCAACTGACACTACTGGCAACTGACACTACTGGCAACTGACACTACTGGCAACTGACACTACTGGCAACTGACACTACTGGTAACTGACACTAACTGGTAACTGACACTACTGGTAACTGACCTATCTACTGGCAACTGACACTACTGGCAACTGACACTACTGGTAACTGACACTTCTGGTAACTGACACTACTGGTAACTGACACTACTGGTAACTGACACTACTGGTAACTGACACTACTGGTAACTGACACTACTGGCAACTGACACTACTGGTAACTGACACTCTGGTAACGACACTCTGGTAACTGACACTACTGGTAACTGACACTACTGGTAACTGACACTACTGGTAACTGACACTACTGGTAACTGACACTACTGGCAACTGACACTACTGGCAACTGACACTACTGGTAACTGACACTACTGGTAACTGACACTACTGGTAACTGACACTACTGGTAACTGACACTACTGGTAACTGACACTACTGGTAACTGACACTACTGGTAACTGACACTACTGGTAACCGACACTACTGGTAACTGACACTACTGGTAACTGACACTACTGGTAACTGACACTACTGGTAACTGACACTACTGGTAACTGACACTACTGGTAACCGACACTACTGGTAACTGACACTACTGGTAACTGACACTACTGGTAACTGACACTACTGGTAACTGACACTACTGGTAACTGACACTACTGGTAACTGACACTACTGGTAACTGACACTACTGGTAACTGACACTACTGGTAACTGACACTACTGGTAACTGACACTACTGGTAACTGATACTACTGAGAAGTTTTCAATAATTTAATAATAAACAAACACAGTGAAATATATTTTTGCAAGAAGAGTATTGCTATTTAAGCCCAAATCGCAAGTTTTATCTATTCGGTAACATATATATATATATATATATATAATATATATATAATATATATATATATATATATATATATATTATATATATATATATATATATATATATATATGCAAACAATTTCATCATCTACGCAATACTTACACACATACCTAGTAGCGATCAGTGTAGAGGCGGGGCCAGGAACTATGACTCGACCCCTGCAACCACAAATAGGTGTACACACATATAACAGCCATCTTCCGCCTAGACTCTCTGGCTACAACCCCCCCCCCCCCCCTTACCTCAATGTCAGCCTCTCCTTCCCATCTCAGTTACTGAAGTTCAGGTAACCGGTTTCCCTGAATCCCATCATAAAAGTTACCTAGCTCTCACTTCAACAGCACGTCCATTAAAAACAACTTGTATCCATATTAACATGTATGTTAAAGTTTTTGAAACATGACCAAGTATAATTCCTAAATCATTGAAAATACAGTTAAACATCAACATAAGAAAAAGTTTTAAAATTATGCGCACAAACCAATAAGGAGGCAATATTTATGTCGTTGATGATTCAGGTGGTTAGTACCCAAGACATGATACCAAAATAAATATAAATAAAAAACTCACCAAATGGGGCAAATTATAATTATTTCAGAGTAAATAGGTTAATTGATGAATCATTGTTATTGAGTCCAAGCCGTTTAATATGTAATATTTCTAATAATATTAAACCCATATTACTCATTTTGTATTAGTTATAATTTTATAATCAACTAGATCAGTTCATGATTGTGGGACTCGGAGTGAATTTTGATATCTTTCTGAGGAGGGTTAATTAGAGTAAGGCTCCTGTTTGACAGATATATAACGTTCATAAACTAGTGTCAAAATCTAAAGTAATTTTGTTTTTATTGGAGTTTATTATTTAAACGTGTGGAGTGAACTGAGACGAGCTAGGAGAGAACAGGGAACTAACAAAGTGTCGGGAAGAAAAGGGAGATTGAAGTGTTTGAGGAGAGAACTTCAATGTGAGGTTAGTAAAGCACGTAGAGATATGAAGTTTGTTTCCTTCCTTTATGCAGGTCGGGTATTGGTTCACTGTCAGTGTGGCATCTCCCGCTCTGCAGTACTGGTCGTCGCTTTCCTCATGCTGAAGCGAGGCATGAATGTCCAGACGGCTCTTGCTAACATTAAGTAAGTCGTTCCACTACTTATAATGAGAGGGGGAAAATTTGCGGTTGTAGTAAAGTAACGGGAATTTTTATTTTTAATTTGAAATAGCTGACTTTATCAAGCCTTATTAATTCATTCAGGATACTGAAGTGAATAATATTGGTCATACTTGCCTTCGTTCCAACAGAAAGAAGAGAAGCATCTTCCCTAATCAAGGTTTCCTGAGTCAGCTGTGCGATCTGGACTACGAGCTTCGCCGGAGCGGCGAGCTCCCCAATGATCAAGAGCCCACCCTTCCTCCCCTAGTCTTCGACTTAGATGAGGACACCACTCCTTCCTTCAAAAACCCGGCTGCCTATCCCAGGTTTACCCTAGTACCCAGCAAGGTATTAGACACTTACACCGACACCAAGAACTACGTCGTACCCCGACGCGCTTCTTCCCTGGACAGATATGAGCCACCTCGCAAGAACTACCAGAATAACCCTCTGGTTGATTCAGTACGCGGTGCCAGGAGGTCTTTGTCGCCTGCTCGAGCTATGTCTCCTCTTAGGGCTACATCACCTGTCCGAAGATCAAGCTTTCCCTCCCTTACCTTCGGCCATGATGATGAAGATCTGCCCGAGAATTCCAAAGTGTTTGATACATACAAGCGGTACTCAAGGTCTACCACGAGTCCCCTACCGAGCACCACCACTACCACCCTCGAGGTATCCAGGCCCTACGACCCATACTTTTTCCCGAGGACTTACACGTACTACGACTCACTCAGGTACCCCAAGGTATATTTCTACGACAGGTATTATTCCCAACCTACTTACCAGTACATCAACAACCTTAGCAGATACTATGATACATACAGGTACAACAGAGCGGTGAGTCCCTTCACTGCCCCGGGTTCGACTCTGGCTCCTGCTTCACTGTACAGGACCTACAAACTGTACCCCGAGAAGGCATACCTGATAGGTTCTTCTTATGTACCATCGTACCCCTACACTGAGAAGTACTTCTCTCCCTTCGTCAGGTACCCAGCCACATATCGCACCCTTCACACCACTCTCTCCCCAGCAATTCGAGTTTACACCTAAACCTCGTACAGCAAAACATGCCGAAAACATTTACTTTTAGATGAATGTTATCCTCTCTGCCTCTTGAAAAGTGTGGTAGCGGAAAGTTGGAGTAAGATCCTCACAGATCTCTGTTTTTCTTTTCATCTTTAAACACACTATCATCAGTACTACCACACACACACACACACACACACACACACACACACACACACACACTAATACCAACCACGCTATTCCGTACCAAACTACCACATCACCACACACACAGTCCCAGCTTGCACTATATTACACCACAACAAAACTCATCGTCTTGTCCTCGTGTTTGTGTTGTGTTTGAAGTCTTAATTTTAGACCTCACACTAATCTACTAACAGTCTCTTCCTGCTAGCCTTCATGAGCAGCTCCAGTATTAGTGACATCACCGTAATGCTCGAAATTTCTCTGTATATAGTGTATATAACATGATTAAACTCTTTCATTCTCAGTCATATAGTGTGATATCCGGTGTTGAGGTATATTTTAACATTAAACATTTTTAACATTTTAAGAAGAGGTGACATTATATAATGGAACAAAGTGTGGGGAGATAACTGAGTAGTGCCCGACTACTGCGGTAGTTAACGCCTATTCCACGAAAGTGATCATTCGCACCACTTCTCCAGCCATGAACTTCACTTGACCAGATCTTTCACCCCGTGTGTTCCATCTGAACCTCTCTCACAGAACACTGCTCCAACTTAACCTCTTACGTACTACTATGTCTTAAAACCTTGTGTCTCGTCTCCACCCTGCTTACTAATCTTAAGCGTTGGTGTTGCTGTGAATCGGTGTCCAAATAGAGCTGTGGTTGAACAGGTAGAGTAAGGAAGGTGGTGGGCATTCTGAGAGGTGGTATCATTAAAGCTGCCCCACTGAGGAACACCCATCATACCCTCCTGGCCTCTTCCCCGGACGGAGCTCGAGCTGCCGTCGTCGCGTCAGTCAGTACGAAGATCCTTCCACCTACAGCTCTTACATTCTACTACCCTGGCGGCGTCAGGGGTAACTCACACTAACATAGCTGAAGTGAATGTTCTCCACCTAGTTATTTTTCTCTTGTGATAATTATTTATATTACTATCATATTTTAAATTATTATCATCATTATTATTATTATTATGACGAAACAAAATTTTGTTTCTTTGGGAGATAAGGGAATTTTAAGTCTCACGAGGTTGTTTATCCCTCCATTTGTTAATGGAGAAAGAAATTTGTGGTAATAGTTTTATATATGAGTATCATGGATTTCACTGTCAGAGGTCGGACATGGCAGCTTATTAAAGTTTGTTGAACTGACAAAGAAGAAATGTTTCAGTGTTTATAAGGCGCTGACCACAGGTGCCATCCTGGGTAATATTATTCTTAAGTTACCTCAGAAATGTTTACAGGTCAGCTCCTCTTGAGGACTTTTGAGTATTAATGCTTGTAATAAAATCAACAATTAGTTACCTGTCTTTTAAATTACCTCAAGCCTAAATGCCGAGTGTCATGGTATAAACGATCTTCATTCCCAACAATCTAGCAAAAATCTACTTTGAACCATCCTTGAAGTTAAAAGGAAAAAAAGACTTTCAATTCCAAAAACTAGATCTTAAAATTAGCAGAAAAGTAGGATCACGGCATTTTATGATGCCGTGATCCTATTGACCAACAGAAATTGCCCAGAGATGCTCAAGACACACTCATGCTCTCGACCAGGCCTCGACTTCATTTGACCCTGTCTGGACATCATGAGAGGTAATGGGAACAATCCTATTATCTATTCCAGTGCTGGAGGCAACAATGCTGGCAGACGTAAGAGTGTGGACCTGATTAGCAAGTACAGGACAGTAATGGAGATAATTAAGAAGGGAAGGAGCCCTGTTATATGTGTCATTTTGCCAAGGAAAGGAGTTGGAAACGAATGGTTGTCCATGACAACTGATGTTAATTCCTGGCTGGACAAATGCTGTAAGGACAATGCAGTACCCATTTAAAGCCAACTGGGACCTCTTCTTTAGCAGAAATAACATATATACCAGGGATGGGGTTCACTTATCTAGGTCTGATGTGGGGGCACTGGCCAATGCAGTGCAGGGAACTGTTAGGGCTTTAAACTAGGAATAGTGTTTTTTTCTAGGACAGCAATGAAATATGATATAATAAAATAAGGCAGGATAATTTCTCAGTTTAACGATGTTGTGAGTTTTAGGGAAACCAGTTATAAGCAAAATGCAGGGAGGTAAAAAGAGAAGAGGGGTTTCTAAAAACACATTATACAGTCGTAGTGCTAGAAACACCGATAACATCGACCTATTAGCCATAATTGAGACGTGGTTTAAGTCGTTCCACGGTGATAGAAGTACTGATCAGGGGGCGTGGGGAGGCACTGTATGTCAGAGAACACTTAAATTCCTGCATAAAAGCAGGTATTAAGATTGAAAGAACACACACTGAGTCTGTCTGGGTAGAATTTTCGGAAGGGATGAAACATTAATTTTAGGGATGATATACCGTCCCTCAAACTTGGACAGGGACCAAGGGATACTTTGGGAAGAAATTTATAAGGCCACAAGGCACACGATAATGCAGTAATTCTAGGAGAATTTAGCCTTAGTCACACTGATTGGGATTCATTGATTGGGAATCTTGAGTCAAACGACTTTCTGGAAGCAGTTCAAGATAATTTTTTTGGAGTAGTTTGAGACAGAACCAACGAGGGGAAACAACCTTCTTGATTTGGCTCTGGCAAACAAGGATATCCGTATTAAAAATCTGGAGATTATAGAGTAAATGTATAAAAAATAGGCTCAAACATCTTTTAGGAATTTATAGGCATATCAAAAGAGGCGAGGGCCATCTCGTGGCTCAATATACTTCATTAAGGGGAGGTTTAAAAAAAGGGGGGAAAAAAAAAAGAAACGGGACAAAAAATTTAAAGGGGCAAATGATCTGAACACAAACCCAAAAAGCTTTCTCTAGTTTATAGAACAAAAGTTAGAGAAAATTGGGTCCTCTTAAAATTTAAACCCCCGGACCCTACTTAAAATAAAAATATCTCCTTTTTTAGTAATTACTTCCCTGGGGTTTTTCGCACAGAAGACACTAATGAAATCTCCACAAAAAGTCACTAAACCCGGTATCCTTTTTAAAAAAAACGGAATCTAATAATATAGAGTTTCCCCGTGAATACAGAAAGGACTGCCCCTCTAACCACCTTTACGGGGTTTTTGTAACAATAGTTAGTAGCCTGGTCCAATTATCCATTAGAATTTAATAGTAAGATTTAATAGCCTTCAGGATTACAAACTGGGAGTTTTTAAAAAAATTTAAAAATTTTAAAAAGTTTTTTTAATAAAAAAAAAGTTTTTCTAGGGGGACAATATCAAAGTAAATCAAAGTAACAATTTAACAAAATATAGGATACAAGTTGCTACACTTCCCCTCGTTACAGTATACTGTGCGAAGGAAAATACAACTTTAGGGTTTTAGTACCGTCTGGGAAAATTTCAAAATTTTTGAACATAAAGCCAATACTTTATACAAACCCGTTTGGTTTTAAATGTTCAAGTAGGTCGCATGTCCAAGACCCATAAATTAACCCTGACGATAAAAGTCCTCAAACTAACTTCTTTACCAACCTGGCAAACAAACACTTGCTTTAACAGTAAAAGACCCATTCGCCGAACACAATATAAAAAGCAGCAGCAACAAAAATCAGGGGAAAAAGGAGATAACATAACGACCCCCAATAGGGACCATCTGCAGATCCTCCCAAGGCACAAAACCCAATACTACTGAATCTAAGGCCATAAAAAAATCCCCGGCTGTGCTGCACAGAACCCGTAAAATTAAACGAAGCTACGCCGGACCTGATTTCTTAAGTGCAGTTTTACACCAACCCCAGTAAACGTAGAAAAAACGTAAGTCTAGGCTATTTTCTTGAACAGGTTTCACGAACACCAACAAGGGGGAGCGACGCGCTGAGTTTTCCCAAAAAGGGCAGCAATGGGGACTAGGGGGGGGTGTTGGGAAACATCATCAACCAGAGAGAAGGCGCGAAGGCAAGGGATCTCCTCCCCAGGGAGGGGTTCACCCCACCTGATCACTGACTCTCTGTGGGCTGCTGCTGCCCCGCAACACAGAAACCGGGAGCAAAAAAAGGGAGTGGTATTTTCAGTATTAACAATCCATCACTACTTAAAACTCTCAGCAATGAACACTGAATAAAAACCCGGATTTACCTGGAGAGTTCCGGGGGGCACGCCCCCCGGGCCCGGTCTGCACCAGGGCCCCCTGGGGATCAACCTGATCAACCAGGGTGTTTCGCTGGCTGCACGAAACCAACTCGAGCCCCAGCCCGGCTGATCCTGGAACGGACTTTAGGTGCTTGTCCAAGTCCAGCCTTGAAGACTGCCAGGGTCTGTTTGGTAATCCCCCTTATGTGTGCAGGGAGGCAGTTGAACAGTCCTCGGGCCCCTACACATATTGTAAGGTCTCTTAACGTGGCTAGTGACAACCCCAGCTTTTCATTGGGGATGGGTTCATCGACCTGCCAAGTCTATTGCTTTCGAAGTGATGATTCTCGTTTGTCAAGTTCGGTACTAGTCCCTCTAGGATTTTTTCCAGGTGTATATAATCATGTATCTCTCCCTCCTGCGTTTCCAGGTAATACAGGTTTAAGAACCTCAGCGCTCCCATATTGAGGTGTTTTATCTCCGGTTATGCGCGCCGTGGAAAGTTCTCTGTACATTTCTAGGGTCGGCGCAATTTCCACCTGCCTTGAAAGTGCTGTTTAGTGTTCAGGCAATATTCCAGCCTAGATAGAACAAGTGTACCTGAGAGTGTCATCATGGCTTGGCCTCCCTAAGTTTTGAAGGTTCTCATTATCCTCCTGTCTTTTTCTAGCAGATGCGATTGAATACAATGTTTGTGTCCTTGAAGGGAGGATTTCTCCGACATGATCACTCCCAGGTCTTTGACGTTGGTGTTTCGCTCTATTTTGTGGCCAGAATTTGTTTTGTACCTCTGATCGAAGATTTAATTTTCCCTCATGTTTACCATATCTGAGTAATTGAAATTTCTCATCGATTGAACTTCATATTGTTTTACTGTACCCACTGAAAGATTTGGTTGATGTCCGCCTGGAGCATTGCAGTGTCTGCAATGGAAGACACTGTCCAGCAGATTCGGGTGGGTCATCTGCAAAGGAAGAACATACGGTGTCTGTGGCTGACATCCTTGTCTATGTCGGAAATGAAGGATGAGGAACAAAAGGGAGCGAGTACTGTGGCCTTGTGGAACAGAGCTTTTCTCACCGTAGCTGCCTCGGACTTTACTCTGTTTGACGACTACTCTCTTGTGTTCTGTTAGTGAGGAAATTATTGATCCATCGACCGACTTTTCCTGTTTATTCCATACACGCATTTTGCGCGCTATTCGCCATGGTCACACTTGTCCCGAAGGCTTTTGCAAAGTCTGTATATATTACATCTGCATTCTTTTATGTCTCTAGTGGCATTTAACCTTGTCCTAGTGGATCAATAGTTGAGACAGACCAGAGCGAACCTTTTCTAAACCCATTTTGCCCGGTTGTGTAACTGATGGTTTTCTAGATGGGTGGTGATCTTGCTTCTTAGGAAACCCTTTCAAAGATTTTTATGATATGGGATGTTAGTGCTATTGGTCCTGTAGTTCTTTGCTGTAGCTTTACTGCCCCCTTTGTGGAGTGGGGCTATGTCTGTTGTTTTTTAGTAACTGTGGACTACCCCCGTTTCCATGCTCCTACTTCTCCATAGATGGAAAAGGCTCGTGATAGGGGCTTCTTGCAGTTCACTTGATGAACACTGAGTTCCATGAGTCTGGCCCTGGGGCTGATGCATGGGCCATGTCATTTATCGCCTGTTCTAAGTCATTTGGCGTCAGGATAACATTCGGAAGCTTGTGTTCATCAAATTTTTTGGCTCTCTCATAAAAAATACATTTTGGAGCTCGACTCTTCAGTCTGTTAGCGCTTGCTAAAAACTGAGTCATAATTGGTACTTGAGTATTCACTCATTTCCTTGGCCCTTGGGTTTTCCCAAAATCCGTGTATGACCCATCTTGTTTAAGAGGCCCAATACTGTACGTTTTTCTCGATTTTGATTTGGCATAGGAGAAGAAATACTTTGGTTTTCTTTCAATTTCATTTATGGCTTATTAGTTCTTCCCCGCGATTCCTGACTCCTAAAGGATTCTTTTAGCTTAGTACGATGCATGCTATTTCTCTGACACAGTGTCTCTCCCTACCGCATTTCAGATATATTGAAACCTCTTTTAGCCGCTCTGTTATTCTTTTCCGTCGCCTGTAATGGGAGCGCCTGTCTCTTTTCTGTGTTTACATCTACTCCTCCTTTCTTAGAGGATAAAGCCTTGTGCATACATCGAGTGCCACCGAGTTAATCTGTTCTAGGCATAAGTTGGGTCTGTG